ATGTCTATTGTCTAGAATCTATAATAAATATTAAGGAAGATTTCAGCTTTTATATGCATTTCAGTCTGCAGCATTACTCTTGACTTTTTGGGATATTTTTCTAATTTTGTGATTGTTTGGTAACTTGAGTCTCTGGTTCACGAAGAAGATACCACTGCTTCTTCACATCCATGGACGTAATTTTCACTTTAGAAGTGGGGGGACGGGGTGTATCTTTACAGTATGTTCTAAAGGGAAACAGGCTTCAACACTGTTTCCCTTGGTCCTAGAGCTCAACCAGTGTCAATTTAATATAGCGTAATATTGTTTTTGGATGGTAAAAAGTGCAGGGGTCAAAACTTGACTTTGGAAAAAGTGGGGGGGGGGGGGGGGACATGTCCCCCCTGTCCCCCCCGCCAAAATTACGTCCATGTTCACATCCTTTTGTTTTTCAATAAAATATAAAACTACTACATTTTTCATCATTTTAAAACCACAAAAACACTTTTTTAAAAAACATTTAATGTTTATGAATGTCCATGTGTGTTTGTACAGTGTTTAGAAGTATTTGAGGAAGTATTATTACTAAGGTACTTTTTTAACCTTATAAATCTAGTTCCTCTTTCTCCATCTATTCCAGCGTCTTCTATTAATATTCCCAAGAGGCATGGACGTAATTTTCACTTTAGAAGTGGGGGGGACACGGGGGGTCTTTACAGTATGCTCTAAGGGGAAACGGGCTTCAACACAAAGGGTTGTTTTCCGCTTGGTCCTAGAGCGCAACCAGTGTCAATTTAAAATAGCGTAATATTGTTTTTGGATGGTAAAACATGCAGGGATCGAAACTTGACTTTGGAAAAAGTGGGGGGGGGACGTGTCCCCCCTGTCCCCCCCCCCCCCTCCAAATTACATCCATGCCAAGAGGACAAAAAGAAAGATGAAGGTTTTTTAAGGCTCCATTATCATAAGGAGGCTAAAATATTCTTTTCAAAAAGCTAAAAAGAACACAAGTGCAGTAACTGATTTTAGACACTGGAAGGCAGCAACTCCTCTGTCTTCTAAATAGAAACCAATGTTGTTATTTTTTTGCTAGCGGGGGTGCAAAATCCCATTTCAAGTCAACAACACAGTGTGTAGTGTTCCTACTATGGAACTCTTAATATTATAAATCCAGTTCCTCCTCCTTTTCCTACTTTATATTATTGATCCCCCCAAAAAAGGAAGGTAAGATGTATTCTAAAAGGCTAAAAAAACAAGTATAAAAGACTTTAGAGCCTGGAGGACAACAACCGTAGGCATAAATATATAATAGTCAATATATATGTCTGTGGAAGCCAGGGCCAGATTAACACTTTGTTGTAAATAAAGGCCCCATCATTATGACCCAAGGATCACCATAATATGGTCACATACAGAATATTTTACTGTAATATGCAGTAAATGTACTCAATACTTCAATGCCTGACATCACGTAACCCGCTCAGGGTAACCTTTGACCCACCTCGTGTGCACTGACCAATGAGGAGAGGGTCTTAACTTGAGGCCCTCTCTTCATTGGTCAGTCTGCATGAGACTGACTCTCAACTGACGTTCAGTCATAGGCAGCGAAGCGTCTCTGTGCAGCGCAAAAGCCCGGGTGGACAGTTTGTTTAATACAGGGTGACCATATCCAAAAAAAAAGGACAGGGGATCTGTGCCTATGACGTCACACTAAGGCAACACCACACAAACCACGTTGGGATCCTTTTTTTGTAAGAACTAAATTAATATCAGATTCTGCCAATAAAAGGGCTCTAAAACAATTCATATGTAAATATTTAGCATATTTACTGCAAAATCTCATTCTTCTGCTTTAGTGCTGCAACAAGGTTTTATTAATAATAAATTATTATACCTTTTGTTTTACTACAGCATCGGTAAGCTTCCTGTGCACAGATTATTAAAGATGCTTGTTTCAGCTGTGAGATTAGACAATAGGATCAATGAACAAATAAGTTGGCTTTAGCCACTAGAGGGCAGCAACTCCTCTGTCTTCTAAATAAGAACCAGTGTTGTTATTTTTTTGCTAGCAGAGGGTGCAAAATCCCATTTCAAGTCAACAACAGTGTGTAGTGTTCCTACTATGGAACTCTTAATTTTATAAATCCAGTTCCTCCTCCTTTTCCTACTTTATATTATTGATCCCAATAGGAAAAAAAGGGAAGGTAAAGATGTATTCTAAAAGGCTAAAAAAACAAGTATAGTAAAAGACTTTAGAGCCTGGAGGGCAGCAAGTTTGGTGATGGAGTTTTTATTATGAATGAATGATGAATTTTTATGAATTATTATGTCTTTTTATGTCTAAGGACAACAGATGAAAATTAGCCTTTGGCTATAATCTGGCATGTTTACATTCATGTAAGCTGCTTTTATATTTATGTTCATTAACATGCACTGTCCTAAATAAATAAACTTATTGTTCACACACACACACACACACACACACACACACACGCACACACACACACACACGCACACACACACACACACACACACACACACACACACACACACACACACACACACACACACACACACAGTGTGCAGGTCTCTTGCATTTCTACAATCATTTCTCTCCATAGGCCTGTTAATGTTTATCAACACTTTTTACATTTTTATGACACTTTTTATGTTTATTTAAAAAAAATCAGAAATATGAGTAGTAAAATGAAAAAATAAAACTGTAATAAAATAATATTTAACATTTTTTATCATAAACAAAATCTCATTTATGTGGCCCACAAGAACTTTAACTTGATCATTTCTTAGTGATAATAGAGACGCATTCAGGTAATCCCTTCTTCATCTGGCAAAGCAGAAGGACCCTTATTTAATTAATATTATTAATTGATATTAGTGGTAGATTGAACCATTAATATTAATTCACATTACTTAATGTTAATTGATATTAATAACAATTAATATTAATTGATATGAATAACAATTAATATTAATTGACATTAATATTAATGGTACATGGTACCATTAATATTAATGTTAATACTGACAAGACTGAAGTAGTGCTGTTTGTGGGCCTTTTATAGTCTCTGGACTGAAACCCTCCTTTATGATGTCACACAGACTTAGCTATTGTGTCTACCCGGTTCTAGAAGATTCCATTAATTAAAGTTTTTATTTATTAATATAATAATAATAATAATTACAAACACAATAGAAGAGTCTGTGTGTGACATCATAAAGGAGGCCTTTAATCTGGAAGATTCCATTAATTAAAGTGTTTTTATTAATATTAATATCAATACTAATATTATTACTATTACTATTATTGATACAAATAACAATAATAACAATACTACTACTACTAATAACAATGATGATAACAATAATAAGAATAACAAACACAATAGAAGAGTCTGTGTGTGACATCATAAAGGAGGCCTTTAATCTGGAAGATTCCATTAATTAAAGTGTTTTTATTAATATTAATATCAATACTAATATTATTACTATTACTATTATTGATACAAATAACAATAATAACAATACTACTACTACTAATAACAATGATGATAACAATAATAAGAATAACAAACACAATAGAACAGTCTGTGTGTGACATCATAAAGGAGGCCTTTAATCTGGAAGATTCCATTAATTAAAGTGTTTTGATTAATATTAATATTAATACTAATATAATTACTATTATTATTAATAATAATAACAATAATTACAATACTAATACTATTATTAATAACTCTAACGAACACAATAGAAGAATCTGTGTGTGACATCATAAAGGAGGGTTTTAACTTGGTACATTCCGAGACTATAAAAGGCCCACCAGCAGCAGCATCACCACTTCAGTCCTTTCAGAGCTACTGTTGAGAACACACCGCTGTCTTTAAACACCCAAGTAAGTTTGACCAAACGCTTTTTGTCACTCAAATCATGAACAGAAGAAACGTGTCGTGGTACGACTCACGTCTACACCCAGAAGAAATGGATTATGAGTCAGACATGGAAAATGATATGTTTGATGAAAACGTGTCGTCGTACGACTCACGTCGACACCCAGAAGAAATGGATTATGAGTCAGACATGGAAAATGATATGTTTGATGAAACAGAACATACATCTGTCTTTGATGCTGAGATAGAGTCACTTCACTATGAGACTAAATTACCTGCTGAACTGGAGTTCCCTGGATCTGAGACGGTCGACTCTGATTCTGAGACGATGGTACCTAGATCTCAGATGGTTCAGCGGGAATTAGCTGGTTTTAAACGCTCAAGAAAGCCACAACAACCCCTTACTTTCACTGAACTCATCGACTTTACTTGTTATGGTGAGTACAAAAAGTCAGATCTACTGTCTACAACTAAAGAGATGGAGTCTGAGATGCCAGAACAAACATCTGTATTTGATGCTGAGAAAGAGTCTCTTCCTAATGAGACTCATTTATCTGCTGAACTGGAAATCTCTGGATCTGAGACGGTTGTCCCTAGACCTCAGACAGTTCAGCAGGAATTAGTTGATTTTAAAAGCAGGCAAATTGATGACCTTTTGAAACAAGTGGATCATTTGAAAGAAAAACTGCAGAATACAAATACTTGTTTCAGTCAGGAGAAGGAGAAGAGGCTTGCTGCCGAGAACCAGTGTGAAAAACTGGAGGAACGACATTTGGGCTTAAAAGCGATGTTAAGCAGAGAAAAAGATGAGAAAATCAATGCAGAAAAGAAGTTTCTTGACAAGCTGGAGAAATTAAAGGAGCAGCTTTCAGAAAAGAATGTTTTCATCGAAAATCTGCAAACAGATTTAGATCAAGAACGTCGGTTCAGACTCGTTAGTGTCCAGGAGCAGAAGAACGCCCAGCATAAAGTTAACGAGAACTATAAGAAGGAAATGAAAGATCTTAAGAAAAGGAACGGTGACCTCTCTGAGATGCTGGACAACGTTAAAACGGATCTGAAGAACAGAGACATGAAACTTCTGGAAGAACGAAATGATTTTAAGCATCAGCTCAAACAGAAGAAGCTAATCTGCGAAGATTTAGAGAAACGTTTGAACAAAGAAAACGAGCTCCGCCTGACCTGTGAGGAAAAACTCAAAAAAGCTAATGATCAAATGAGTTCAATGAATGGAAATCTCAAGAAGGAGATCAACGACCTGAAACAGAAGAACTTGGAGCTCAGTCAGACGCTGAGAAGTTGTCAGGCTGTAGAAACTAAATCAGAACAGATGTGTGAGGATCTGCAGAAGTTTAAACAGCTGCTCCATGAAAAAATGTCCGTCTGTGAAGAACTTAGCAGCAGTCTGGACATGGAGAAGCAGCTCAGAGTTAGCTACGAGGCTCAGCTGGACTCTAACAGGGCGATAGCCTGTGAGAACTCAGATCTTAAAGAGCAGATCAAAGATCTGACTCAGAGCAACTCTGAACTCAGAGTGGTCGTGGAAAACCTGACCGCTGAGAACGCTGCTTCTCACAAGGAGTTGGTTGAGCAGCAGGAGAGCTTCAAACATCAACTCCAGGATAAATCTGTCGCCTGTGACCTTTTGAAAGAAAAACTGCAGAATACAAATACTTGTTTCAATCAGGAGAAGGAGAAGAGGCTTGCTGCAGAGAACCAGTGTGCGCTTTACAAGGAGCAAACTAAAGAGATGGAGAACGGTTTGGTTCAGCAGCAACAAAAGCTGGTGGCTTTAGAAAAGCAGTTACAGGAGCAGAAAAACGTGAATAAAGATTTACTAGAAATCTGCTCAGATCTAAAAGGTGAGACAGACGAGTCTCGTTTTTCTGGAGTCTCGAGAAACGATCTGATCGAGAACTTTGAAAAGCTGGAGGAACAACATTTGGGCTTAAAAGCGATGTTAAGTAGAGAAAAAGATGAGAAAATCAATGCAGAAAAGAAGTTTCTTGACAAGCTGGAGAAATTAAAGGAGCAGCTTTCAGAAAAGAACGTTTTCATCGAAAATCTGCAAACAGATTTAGATCAAGAACGTCGGTTCAGACTCGTTAGTGTCCAGGAGCAGAAGAACGCCCAGCATAAAGTTAACGAGAACTATAAGAAGGAAATGAAAGATCTAAAGAAAAGGAACGGTGACCTCTCTGAGATGCTGGACAACGTACAAACGGATCTGAAGAACAGAGACATGAAACTTCTGGAAGAGCGAAATAATTTTAAGCATCAGCTCAAACAGAAGAAGCTAATCTGCGAAGATTTAGAGAAACGTTTGAACAAAGAAAACGAGCTCCGCCTGACCTGTGAGGAAAAACTCAAAAAAACTAAAGATCAAATGAGTTCAATGAATGGAAATCTCAAGAAGGAGATCAACGACCTGAAACAGAAGAACTTGGAGCTCAGTCAGACGCTGAGAAGTGGTCAGGCTGTAGAATCTAAATCAGAACAGATGTGTGAGGATCTGCAGAAGTTTAAACAGCTGCTCCATGAAAAAATGTCCATCTGTGAAGAACTTAGCAGCAGTCTGGACATGGAGAAGCAGCTCAGAGTTAGCTACGAGGCTCAGCTGGACTCTAACAGGGCGATAGCCTGTGAGAACTCAGATCTTAAAGAGCAGATCAAAGATCTGACTCAGAGCAACTCTGAACTCAGAGTGGTCGTGGAAAACCTGACCGCTGAGAACTCTGCTTCTCACAAGGAGTTGGTTGAGCAGCAGGAGAGCTTCAATCATCAACTCCAGGATAAATCTGTCGCCTGTGACCTTTTGAAACAAGTGGATCATTTGAAAGAAAAACTGCAGAATACAAATACTTGTTTCAATCAGGAGAAGGAGAAGAGGCTTGCTGCAGAGAACCAGTGTGCGCTTTACAAGGAGCAAACTAAAGAGGTGGAGAACGGTTTGGTTCAGCAGCAACAAAAGCTGGTGGCTTTAGAAAAGCAGTTACAGGAGCAGAAAAACGTGAATAAAGATTTACTAGAAATCTGCTCAGATCTAAAAGGTGAGACAGACGAGTCCCGTTTTTCTGGAGTCTCGAGAAACGATCTGATCGAGAACTTTGAAAAGCTGGAGGAACAACATTTGGGCTTAGAAGCGATGTTAAGCAGAGAAAAAGATGAGAAAATCAATGCAGAAAAGAAGTTTCTTGACAAGCTGGAGAAATTAAAGGAGCAGCTTTCAGAAAAGAACGTTTTCATCGAAAATCTGCAAACAGATTCAGATCAAGAACGTCAGTTCAGACTCGTTAGTGTCCAGGAGCAGAAGAACGCCCAGCTTAAAGTTAACGAGAACTATAAGAAGGAAATTCAAGATCTTAAGAAAAGAACCGGTGACCTCTCTGAGTTGCTGAACAACATTAAAACGGATGTGAAATACAGAGAGAGGATACTTCTGGAGGAACGAAATGATTTTAAACATCAGCTCAAACAGAAGGATCTAATCTGTGAAGATTTAGAGAAACGTTTGAACAAAGAAAACGAGCTCCGCCTGACCTGTGAGGAAGAACTCAAAAAAACTAAAGATCAAATGAGTTCAATGAACGGAAATCTCAAGAAGGAGATCAACGACCTGAAACAGAAGAACTTGGAGCTCAGTCAGACGCTGAGAAGTGGTCAGGCTGTAGAGACTAAATCAGAACAGATGTGTGAGGATCTGCAGAAGTTTAAACAGCTGCTCCATGAAAAAATGTCCATCTGTGAAGAACTTAGCAGCAGTCTGGACATGGAGAAGCAGCTCAGAGTTAGCTACGAGGCTCAGCTGGACTCTAACAGGGCGATAGCCTGTGAGAACTCAGATCTTAAAGAGCAGATCAAAGATCTGACTCAGAGCAACTCTGAACTCAGAGTGGTCGTGGAAAACCTGACCTCTGAGAACGCTGCTTCTCACAAGGAGTTGGCTGAACAGCTGGAGAGCTTCAAACATCAACTCCAAGATAAATCTGTCGTCTGTGAAAACCTGGAAACAGGTTTCACCAACGAACAGAAGCTCAGACTCCAGCTTTCCCAGCAACTCCAGGAAACATCTGGCCTGTGTGAGAGCCTGGAAAACCAGCTTAGAGATGAGCAGAAGATCAGACTTGGTTTGGAGACTGAGCTCGCCCAAAACAGAGACGTGGTCAGTGCAGGTCATGATGATTTGATGGCCAAACTAGAACAGATGGAGGAAAAAGAAACGAAACTCTGTAAAGTCGTCATTAACCTCCAGTTAGATCTGTTTAGAAGAAAAAAGCAGCACGAGGAAGAGTTGGGAATCCTGAAGGAACAAGTCTCTAAACTCGAGGCACTGACTACAAATCTGGAAAGTCAAAATCAGATCTTAAGACAAAAAACTGAATGTTTTAACCCAGATCAGCAAACAGAAGCGATCAGTGAGCAGAACGTGGACGCTGCAGTAGGAAACAAGAGTCTTCCTGCTGAAAACGACTCTTTAGCAGAAAGCCTCGAGTCCCAGAGAGACGCTCCACACTCAGACACAAAAAAACTGGATAAAGTTTCTGTGTGGAGGCGTTTCAAGAAATCTGTAACACCGGGATGTCTCCGTCAGCACAAAAACAGACAACCTAGCAACTAACCTCCCTCCTAACTAATCAGAAAAGGCTCATTAGAAGACATCCCATTGGGCAGCACTGTCCAGGATGAATTTGAGAAGTTAAACCAGCCACTGCCTCCCCAAAGACCCTGTTTAGAAAAAAAAAAGATAAATAAACAAGCCCCCCCAACACACACACAGAAGGAAAAAACGGGGCATCATGGTGGCACAGTGGCTAGCACTGTTGCCTCACAGAAAGGCCACTGGTTCAAATCGGATCAGCTTCCTTTCTGTGTGGAGTTAGTATGTTCTCCCCATGAATGCGTGGGTTTTCTCCCGGTGCTCGGGTTCCCCCCACACGCCAAAAACACACTAAAAACACGCTTAGGTCAATCGGTGACTAAATTATCCCTAGCTGTAAGTGAGTCACGGTGATGGACAAGACCTGCTTGCTCAGTAGGAGGGACTGCTGTAAAATCACTGACACAAGTCAGTGACTCGATGAGATCTTCCTTAGATAGGAAAATTATAACTAATTAGAATAATGAAGTGAACTCAGGACACGGTTTAATACGAAAGGTTCAACTGCAGTGTTTGCTTTTTGAGATGACTGCTGTTTAACTTGGTGCTACATAAATAAACTGAACTGAATAACTAATCTGAGAAAAGCAGCTACAGCTTCCCCCAAAACCCTTAAAGAGAAATCAGACCTTGTCATGGACGTCACTAGGATTGAGAGATGGGGGGTGGGTGGGTGGGTGGGTGGGGGGGGGGGGGGGGGGGGGGGGGGGGGGTTAGCCCCAGGAGCTTGACCTTGAACATTTTTGTCACACCCTGCAAAAACTTTGTCAATTAATTCATTATATGAAGAACATTTAACAAAACCTATTATTTTATCACTTTCTTTTCCTTTCCTACCTTTGTGCATTTTCTCTCTTCTTTTTATTAAAAAATAACACTTACTGAGTTCATTAGTGGGGTCTATGTTGAAGAAAGATTTTATATAAGTCCATTCAAAATTAGATATGTTATATTTCCAAATAAAGCTATTCATTTCAGTCTACTGCACTCAACAGGGGGAAATTTTGCAGTCATTTGTTTAATTTGTTTAATTACAACTTGCTTAATTATAAATGTTACTGAAATATGACAAAGAACAAATGAATAATTGTCAAACTTTTATTCTGCCAAATGAGTGTGCAGTTGACAGTTTTAATATATGAATAATACTGATATGATATGGAATAAAGGAGTATGTAATTAACAATTACAAGACAAAATAACAGTATATATAAAAATTAGGGCTGGGACTTGATTAAAAATTTTAATCTAGTTGATTAGAGGCTTTGTAATTAATTAATCTAAATTAATCGCATTTTAATCATTCAGGAAAATGTGCTCTCAAAACAAAACTTAATTAAAATTATGAAACAGAGAATTAAACATTAGACATGGTTATTACTGTAAAACTAAAGCTTTTAATAAAAAATGTATTTTAATTAATCAAATGTCACTGTGTGATATGAAACAAGACCCAAATCAACTAAAATTTATAATTACAAATAGAAAACGCCTGCAAAGGGTTCCTGAGTCTTTAAATAGTCTCACTGTCTAGTTGAATTACTGAAATAAATTTGACTTTGCACCAGATTCTAATTTTTCCAGTTTCACTTGTTTGTATAACTGGGAGTTTTTATTAGCATTTCTACTCATAATGTAGTAAAAACACACATATAAATAATAATCCTTCAAAATGACAGTAGAACAGGCACAAATATGATCTAGGACTTAAATGTACTAACTTTTAACACCAGAGCAGGCGTGGCATATTCTGAGAATGATCAGGAACACTAACTGGTTCCAGTTGGATGACTGGAGGATGATGGGATGATAAAAGATCATCGTCGTCGTCGTCTTCCTCCGCTTATCCGGGTCCGGGTCGCGGGGGCAGCATCCCAACTAGGGAGCTCCAGGCCGTCCTCTCCCCGGCCTTGTCCACCAGCTCCTCCGGCAGGACCCCAAGGCGTTCCCGGACCAGATTGGAGATGTAACTTCTCCAACGTGTCCTGGGTCGACCCGGGGGCCTTCTGCCGGCAGGACATGCCCGAAACACCTCCCCGGGGAGGCGTCCAGGAGGCATCCTGACCAGATGCCCAAACCACCTCAACTGGCTCCTTTCGATCCGGAGGAGCAGCGGTTCTACTCCGAGTCCCTCCCGAATGTCCGAGCTCCTCACCCTATCTCTAAGGCTGAGCCCGGCCACCCTACGGAGGAAACTCATTTCGGCCGCTTGTATCCGCGATCTCGTTCTTTCGGTCATTACCCAAAGCTCATGACCATAGGTGAGGATTGGGACGTAGATCGACCGGTAAATCGAGAGCCTGGCTTTCTGGCTCAGCTCCCTCTTCCCCACGACAGATCGGCTCAGCGTCCGCATCACTGCAGACGCCGAACCAATCCGCCTGTCGATCTCCCGATCCCTCCTACCCTCACTCGTGAACAAGACCCCGAGATACTTAAACTCCTCCACTTGAGGTAGGACCTCTCCCCCGACCCGGAGGTGGCAAGCCACCCTTTTCCGGTCGAGAACCATGGTCTCAGATTTGGAGGTGCTGATCCTCATCCCAGCCGCTTCACATTCGGCCGCGAACCTACCCAGCAAGAGCTGAAGGTCAGAGCTGGATGAAGCTAGGAGGACCACATCATCCGCAAAAAGCAGAGACGAGATTCTCCTGCCACCAAACTCGACACACTCCACACCACGGCTGCGTCTAGAAATTCTGTCCATAAAAGTGATGAACAGAACCGGTGACAAAGGGCAGCCCTGGCGGAGTCCAACCCTCACTGGGAACAGGTCCGACTTACTACCGGCTATGCGGACCAAACTCACGCTCCTCTGGTAAAGGGACTGAATGGCCCTTAACAGAAAGCCACCCACCCCATACTCCTGGAGCGTCCCCCACAGGGTGCCCATGGGGACACGGTCATAAGCCTTCTCCAAATCCACAAAGCACATGTGGATTGGTTGGGCAAACTCCCATGCCCCCTCCATCACCCTTGCAAGGGTATAGAGCTGGTCCACAGTTCCACGGCCAGGACGAAAACCACATTGCTCCTCCTCTATCTGAGATTCAACTATCGATCGGACCCTCCTCTCCAGTACCTTGGCGTAGACCTTTCCAGGGAGGCTGAGGAGTGTGATCCCCCTATAGTTGGAACACACCCTCAGGTCACCCTTCTTAAAGATGGGGACCACCACCCCGGTCTGCCACTCCCTAGGAACTGCCCCCGATGACCACGCAATGTTGTAGAGACGTGTCAACCATGACAGCCCTACAACATCCATAGCCTTGAGATACCCAGGACGAACCTCATCCGCCCCCGGGGCTCCGCCGCTGTGTAGTTGTTTGACTACCTCAGCAACTTCTGCCCCCGAGATCGGACAGTCCATCCCCAGGCCTCCCAGCTCTGGTTCCTCCTCGGAATGCGCATTGGTGGGATTGAGGAGCTCCTCAAAGTATTCCTTCCACCGTCCGACTATAGCCTCAGTTGACGTCAGCAGCTCCCCATCCCCACTGTAAACAGTGTGAGCGAGTTGCTGCCTTCCTCTCCTGAGGCGCCGGACAGTTTGCCAGAACCTCTTTGGAGCCGATCGATAGTCTTTCTCCATGGCCTCACCAAACTCCTCCCACGCCCGAGATTTTGCCTCGGCAACTGCCACTGCTGCACCCCGCTTGGCTATCCGGTACCTGTCTGCTGCCTCCGGAGACCCACAGACCAGCCACGCCCTGTAGGCCTCCTTCTTCAGCCTGACGGCTCCCCGAACCTCTGGTGTCCACCAGCGGGTACGGGGGTTGCCACCACGACTGGCACCGGCCACCTTACGACCACAGCTAGCAACAGCCGCCTCGACAATCGCAGAGTGGAACAAGGCCCACTCGGACTCAATGTCCCCCACTGCTCTCGGGACGTGGTCAAAGCTCTGCCGGAGGTGGGAGTTGAAGACCGTCTTGACAGGTTCTTCTGCCAGGCGTTCCCAGCAGACCCTCACTATGCGTTTGGGTCTGCCAGGTCTACGCGGCATGTTCCCTTGCCATCTGATCCAACTCACCACCAGGTGGTGATCAGTTGACAGCTCCGCCCCTCTCTTCACTCGGGTGTCCAAAACATACGGCCGCAGGTCAGATGATACGACTACAAAATCTATCATCGACCTGTGACCTAGGCTGCCCTGGTACCAAGTGTACCGGTGGGCATCCTTATGTTCGAACATGGTGTTCGTTATGGCCAAACTGCGGCTTGCACAGAAGTCCAATAACAAAACACCGCTCGAGTTCTGATCAGGTGGGCCGTTCCTCCCAATCACACCCCTCCAGGTCAAGCTGTCATTGCCCACGTGAGCATTGAAGTCCCCCAGCAGGACAATGGAGTCCCCTGATGGAGCACTATTTAGCACTCGTCCCAGGGACTCCAAAAAGGGTGGGTACTCTGAACTGATATTTGGCCCATAAGCACAAACAACAGTCAGGACCCGTTCCCCGACCCGAAGGCGCAAGGAAGCTACCCTCTTGTCCCCCGGGGTAAACCCCAACACACAGGCAGAGAGTCTCGGGGCTAACAAAAAGCCAACCCCAGCCCTCCGCCTCTCACCCGGAGCAACTCCAGCAAAGTAGAGTGTCCAACCCCTCTCCAGGTCTCGGGTTCCAGAGCCAATGCAATGTGTCGAGGTGAGTCCGACTATATCTAGCCGGTACCGCTCAACCTCTGCCACAAGCTCCGGCTCCTTCCCCGCCAGCGAGGTGACGTTCCATGTCCCAAAAACTAGTTTTCTTGTCCGGGGATTGGACCGCCAAGGCTCCCGCCTTGGTCTGCCACCCGATTCACATTGCACCGGACCCTTCATGTTCCTCCTGCGGGTGGTGGGTCCACAGTTGGACGAGCCCATGTATCCGGTTCGGGCTGGGCCCGGCCGGGCCCCATGGGCGAAAGCCCGGCCACCAGGCGCTCGCTCACGGGCCCCAACCCCAGGCCTGGCTCCAGGGTGGGACCCCGGTAACCCTCCGGGCCGGGTACTCCGACTCTTCGTTTTCACCGCCATGAAAGATCCTTCGAACCGTTCTTTGTCTCACCCTTCACCTAAGACCAATTTGTCATGGGAGACCCTACCAGGGGCACTAAGTGCCCCAGACAACATAGCTCCTAGGATCATTAGGGCACTCAAACTCCTCCACCACGATAAGGTGACGGTTCAAGGAGGATCATGACGAGGAAATAATGATGTGACGAACAGGTGAGCGGACCTTCCTTACATGGGAAGTCCTGCTGTCACGTTAAGAAGGGGGTGCTGCAGACCCGCAGATTCACGCCTGCAGCAGTGAATCTGGTGTGATCTCCAGCCTGATCACAACTTTCTCGTTCCTCGCTGCCCCTGATGCACTTAAGCATCCGCCCCTCAGCTGATGACAGCTTCAACACACCTCACTGCTTAATGATAGTAATGCATGTGATTTTTAGACAGTGACTCATCTCAGAAACATAGAATTCCCTGACAGAATTGTTTAGAAAATCATCAGAAAAGTTTCAGAGTGTTTCTGTTTTAACTTAAACTTCTGTTTTCAACTTTAAGACACGTTGTTTGTGATTGTTTACAGAGTAGTGAGAACATGGAGCATTCTCCCAGCGGCAGCCAGATGCCTCTCGTTTGTCTGACTACTTTCATAAACTACTGTTAGGGCAAAGA